ATTATTATATATATTATTATATATATTATTATATATATTATTATATATATTATTATATATATTATTATATATATAATAATAGTAACAACAATAATAATAGTAATAATAACAATAATACATATACATATATATATATGTATATAAGATATATATATATATATGCAGAAAATCACCAAAATGATCGAAATCGAAAAATACAGATAGACCAATATAGAAGATATACAGAAAGCGATGCGAGAATCACCAAATTATGGGGACGAAACCTCCAAAAACCGGATTGTTTGGTGAACATGACCAATATGTGTGGTTCCTCTGCGGCAACTTTCACCTTTGTACCCAGCACCACGGTCCAAAAAATGGTGACTTTTATATTTTTCCAGGAAAAGTATGGGAATAAATTGGCCATCAGAAACAGAGAAGCATTTTTTGGGTGTCTCTGAGAATCTCTGATACCCAAAAATTGGCAGTTTCCACCGGCTGTTGAGTGATCCCAACGGATGTTGGGAAACCACAAGTTCCATTTGTGGAGAAATCTCACATCATGTTTAACAAATTCAAATAGTATGAAGTTAGCTAAAAACAATGGATTGATTTAAGGAATTTTTTTTTCAGGAAAGCCCCATGATCTTCATGGGAAAATCGATGGTTTCCGGTTTCGATTTTCCCTAAAAAACCAATCCATTGATAAAAACTGGTTGGTGGTTTCAACCCCTCTGAAAAATATGAAAGCCAGTTGGGATGATTATTCCCAATATATGGAAAGTCATAAAATTCATGTTCCAAACCACCAACCAGAAAACCTTTACAATGGAAAGATCCACCATTTTTAATGGGAAAATCCACTATAAATGGCCATTTTCAATAGCAAACTGTTAGTTCACCAGAGGGTACATATTTCAAAGCTCATGCACCGAGCTTTTTCATCATTGGGCAATATGGATCTTTGAGATTCCACCTTGCCGGCCAATGGCTGGTGAGGTCACGTGACGCCAGAGGGCTTGGATAATTGGATAATTGGAAGATATATAAATGGAAGATATTATGATTGAGACTTTCCAGTCTAGTATGTTTATCTATTTTTTTCAAGGTCTTGAGATTTTTCTTCTGAAAATTCTTGGATCATTGTTAAGAGTACTGGTCATTTGCCTCCAAAAATGTTAGTCAGTAAACCCAGATCTGTCCCCATCGCAAAGCATCCCCACTTCCGCTCCTTCCCAAAGGCATCCAAGGCATCCGACATCTCCAAGCTGTGATTGGCAAAGGAGCCTTGACCAAACGTGTATACTCTGGTGAACTAACATAGCAATGGAAAGATCCACCATTTTTAATGGGAAAATCCACTATAAATGGCCATTTTCAATAGCAAACTGTTAGTTCACCAGAGGGTACAGTTTGCTGAGAAATCTTAGAGATCTTACCACTCCCAAACGGAAAACAACCATGGAGTTTCCATGGGAAAAAAAAAAACGAAGCCCAGTGATAATCGAAAAGGATCTCCGTCGTGCCCCGCACTTCTCAAAAAATAACAGCCACGTATTGATCTTATTGTTCATATGATACGGATAAAAATCTCGAACCCTTCATGCTTCGCGCTACAAACTCATACCCCAAGTTGCGGCGCCATGGTTAATAGTCCGAACTATGTCATTGCATCCCCTACCTAACCGTTTATGGGGACTGAAAACATGAACCGGGAAGGCATTCATCAACTGTCCCATGTCCCGACCTTTGGAAGCATCTGAGACCTCCAAGTCCGTCCAAAACCTGGCCATCAATGGAGGTTGACGAGAAAAATCCCATCTTTGGCCGTTGTTCATAGTTAAACGGTCGTTGAAATGAGTTATAGATTTACCTACACCCTTCGGTGGGTCATCCAACATGGCTAGCTGTGAACTCCCGGAGCCGTGGAGCTTAGTTCGATGATGTGGCGATGTTCCAATTTCAATGACCGGATCACATATGATATGACCATTGAAATCACCATTGATATACAGTCATCCTGGAGTAGATAGAATATGGATATTTAACAACAAGTCCTCACAAAATTGGGAATATTCACGAATATTCTCTAAATTATGATGTCATATTTACTTCAGGGTGATGATATACATATATAACTATATATGTAATACTGTGTATATATATATACACATAATACAATATATATATGGTCAATGGCGTGATTACGGTACCATGGATATAAATCAACCATCATGGTGATTTAATATTGCTATAAATCACCGTTTAAAATGTTCCATGTATATATACAATAAATCACCAGTGATATAGATACACAGGTGTAATAATAACAATAAAGACAATATTGTTATTGCTATTAATAGGTAATAACAGTAAAAATCATCTAATCATAATCATAATATACAATCATATGGAGGTGTCCTAAAATGGGGGTACCCCCGAATCATCCAATCATCTAAATTACACCATTTTAGTAGTGAAACCTAGAGATTTTTGGAACCCAGATTTTAAGAAACCCCCATATATATATAACATTATTTAACATTATCTAGTTTATCTAGTAGAGTCTATGTTGATTTACTCGAGGGTAATATATTTAACATCGTTAGTAAACAGCATATCTAAATCATCTAACCTATATATGTAATCATCATATCATTATCTAACATATAGATGAATCTAACACTGATATTAATCTAATATCATCAATCACTAATATATTGTGTCTTGCCCAACTAATATATCATGATCATTATCTAACATTCATATCAGAAAAAATATGTATATATATATATCACCATCATTAATCACGAACTAAATGCCATATAGGTATTGATCCATAGCCATATATCATTATCTAACTTTGATATTAGATCTGTCATTGATCACGAACTAAATGCCATATAGGTATTGATCCATAGACATATATCATTATCTAACTTTGATATTAGATCTGTCATTGATCACGAACTAAATGCCATATAGGTATTGATCCATAGCCATATATCATTATCTAACTTTGATATTAGATCTGTCATTGATCACGAACTAAATGCCATATAGGTATTGATCCATAGCCATATATCATTATCTAACTTTGATATTAGATATGTCATTAATCACAAACTAACATTATCATTATCATTATCTAAAATTCATATTATATATATATTATTACATTATATTGTCATAATATTATCATTTATCACAAACTAACATTGATCATTGCCTAACATATAGCCATAATATATATATATCAAATATGTCACTGCCATATCACTAACCAAATGCTCATCTGGTTGGTGGTTGACCTACCCCTCTGAAAAATATGAGTTCGTCAGTTGGGATTATGAAATTCCCAACTGAATGGAAATTCATAAAATTCCATGGTTCCAAACATTCCCAAGATAGTTTTGATGTGATTATTATTCTCTGGTTGGGATTATTAGTATTAGTATTATGTTCCAAACTATCTGGTTTTCATGTGATTAGTATTCATCTTCCAATAAAATTATAGTATTCCCTCTGAAATTCATAATGATACATTCATTAAGGCATGATGTTCATTGATTTTCCCAGCTATTAATGTTAATTATAAACAATAGTTCATCCACTGGGAAACATTTTAATGGAAAAATCAATGGAATTATTCAGCCAGCCAATCAATTTTAATGTTAATTGAAAAACATAAAATTCCATGGTTCCAAAGCACCAGCCATGAAAATCTTGTCTGTCGTGCCGAAGAATTTTCACTTCCTTAAGGCCGAAAGCGCCAGGTCATCCACCTAAAGGATGGCGAAGCGAGTCATGGGACCTTTTATGGATGGAAAGTCATGGGAAAATGGAGGGAAAATGGAGGGAAGATCCGGAATTCGATGGTTTTTTCCGGGCGGATGGTGGATTTTGGCACTTTGCGATCGCAAACGGATGGTGAATGACGGTGATGTTCAAGCATCTGATGCATAGAAATGTTGCCAATGCATAAAAAACAATGCCTAAAACAACCACAAAATGATCGAATATGGAACGCTATTGAATCCAACGGTTCAACAAATTTCGATGCCACTGGGCATTCAACAGACCAATGGGATCATTTTACAGAGCAGATGGATAGGGATATTGGCTATGAGTTATTTTTTTCCCTGGGGGACCACAGATATTATTAATATTGTTGTCTATCTTTAGCAGTAACCATCCAATTATTGGGGTACCCAATTTTGACCCATACCCAATTGGGTGTACAAACAGCAGGAACAGGTGGCCCAGATATTTAGATCTCGGGGATCTCGGGTAAGTACTGGTTTGATGCTCAGATCACATCCAAAACATCTACCAGATTGCAGTTCATCGCAAGTGCTGAGGCTTGCTGTATTCAGATAATCGTCAATGATTGCCACATGTCTGTTGATCGATTCTTTTCATTTTGCTTGCCAACCTTGTGATTCTTCGTCACAATACCCGATCACGGATGATCACAGTCACCCACACAGTTGGATGCGTCACGCTAAAACTACCCTCTGGTAACGACTAACATAGCTGTTGAAAATGACCATTTAGTTCGTGGATTTTCCCATTGAAAATGGTGATTTTCCATAGTTATGTAAACGTTTACCAGAGGGTATCTCTGAAAGTCACCCAAACTTTCTGGTTCAAGAATCTGAAACCTACCACTTCGCCCTTACCACAATGTGGTTATGTCTCGAGAATGGGGGACCCAGCAATGGCTGGTTCTGTGGCTAGTTCCATGGCTCCATGGCTCAAAGGTGATCGGGCATTCCGGTGTTCCCACAATTCTTGCTACCAAACCCCAATATCAAGTTGGTGAAGCATCTCCCAAATACCATATCCAATGAAGAGACATGTAAATATATATATATATATGTCAAAGTGTTCCTTATTTTTTTTATATACCAACCAAACCATCAGAAATTCCCCATCATCATATCCAACAAGACTGTCAATTCAGCCATGGTTCATGATTTTCAAGCACCATTCTTCCACCATGGTTTCATGCTGAAAAATCAACCTCTAAATCCCTTTTTTTATCTGATTATATAAATCCTCCTCCTAATTTCCATGGGAAAAAAAACCTGGCCTGTTGCTGGAAGGAGCTCTCAGCCTTCACCTGAACTGTCGCCCCTGGATTTTTCAGCCCCAGTTGTCTGCTTGGTGAGTACCAGTAGACATAGGTACTTGGTGAATTTACCTGGTGAATTTTACTGGTGAATAGTACCTACTAGGTAAATAGTAGCTATAGATTATCACCAGGTACTATTCACCTGAGTACCTATTTTGGATTATGGCCCCAGCATCCCCAGTTGGTACATCAGTTGCTAATTTACAAACTTTATCAAGCTTCAAACATCTTCGAACCCATATTTGATATTTGATCCCACATCCTTACTGATGAAGGAAGCAACCCATGGTACTTCTACAGAGCCGAGCAACAGAGCAACATCTCACATCAAAAACTTGTTGATAGCTATGGAATGATCCCTCCGCACTAACAATCATCAACCAATCATCCTTTGTCAACTATATCAACAGATATTTCGCGTTTTAAAACCCCAAAAGATCCCATAAATGATGCTTACCCTCCCCAAAATTCACATAGACCCAGCCATTTATCATGGGTTGGAATCGGTTGGAAGCATGGTAACCAGTCAAAATGGCTTGTTTTTAGCGTCTTTGACCAGACGATACCCTCCTGTAAACGAACATATGTCCACATCACATTAATACACCCCTTCCCCTCAAACAAACTAGTAATCAAAATCAAGTTGAGGCCAAACATACTCTTCGGGAGAGAGCACATTTATATAGTTGTGCCGAACAAATTGCCTGATTGACAACGAATGCATAATTGTCATGTTGGGAACCCTTTTAGTATTGCTGAACAAATTGGCCAATTGAAAATCAATCCATGTTGTGACCCTTTCAACATTGCCAAACAAATCGGTTAATTGAGAACGAAAACACATTGGGAAAACTGTTGCATGTTTGTATGCCAAACAAATATCCTAATTGAAAGCGGCGAATACAGACATTTCATTAAAAGAATGAGAATTGGTTCCAAGCACTTCCTGAATTCTAAATTGGTTTGAAGTTGAATTAGATTTGACTTTTATTTGGATTTTCTTTGGAGGGTCCCAAAAATTGGAGCACTTGATTTGGAGGGCCGCCACTATAATACATTGTTTTTTAAAGGGTTGAGATAGCAAAAGTAATTTACTTTAAAGGCCAAATCTCCACAGAATCATTCAGTGACTTTGTTAAGGGGGGTAAACCATTGCTTTTTATATAGTGGTTCGGAGGTGGTTCAAGGCTGAACTCTTTGCACGTTTTTTTTGTTGCATTTCTTGACAAGCAATCGATAAAGAAATCGATGCATTCAGATCTTTCGAGATTTTCAGACCCTTGAGGTCAAAATCAAAAAATCATGAAGGAAAAAATCCAGAAAAAATGAAAAATAAAAAAAAAGACCTGCATAGTTTATTGTAGGAGGATGTTAGTACGTTCTCTCCAAATTTGGGGTGTTTTATTGTGATAGGGATCATTTTTTTGTGGTGTCAACATTAGATATGGAAAAGCCACGTAGATCATGTTCCAAAGAGGGTTCCCCATGGTGCGCTCCGTTTCGTTTTCTGGTTTACTCCAGGGTGATCATCCAATACAGTAAATTACCATTTGTGTTGTTTGAAATCCCACCAACATCCCATTAACATCCCATTAACATCCCATTAACATCCTAACATCCCATTGAAATCCAAGAAAATCCACTCAAATCCCACAAAAATCCCAATTGACAAGCCAACCCCACATCTATATCTGAGTTTTCTACCCTCTGGTAATTTAACATAGCTATGGAAAATCCAAACCAGAAATGGAGGTTTCTAGCTGGGAAAATCATCTGTTTCTATGGTCCATTTTCCATAGTTATGTTAATTTACCAGAGGGTACATCCATCAATATCCTAGTATTATCCCATCATTATTCCATGATCATCCCATGAATCATTAAACCATATTAAACCATATTAAAACCATATTAAACCATATTAAAACCACATTAAACCATATTAAAACCATATTAAAACCACATTAGTTTACCAGAGGGTACATCTATTTCTAAATCATTTTCCAATCCACCAGGGTCGACCTGTCCTGCCGATCTCCCAAGGCCTCGTGCAACTTCCTCTCCATCAGAGCTTGCGCGGCCACCACGTCCTCTTCGGCCTTTTTTAGGCTGACCATATATAAACATAATCTCATGTGTATTATATATAAGTGTGTATTATATCTATGTATATATATATATACATATATATATATACATATATATATATATCATAGATTCTATATATATATAATAGATTATAGATATTATATGAAATGTCTATAATCTATAGAATGTCTAGATATGACACCCCAGCCACGGCGCCCCAACTGGCCTTCTCCAAGCGTCGCCAGAGATACCGTGGAGGCGATGTGTCCACCTTCGCTCGGCATTTGCTGCCGTCATTAAAAAATATGGTATATAATATGGTACATTTATATAATATGCTATATACATCTATATACCATAATCAAATATATATATATATGAATCATCAAAAAGTCTTGGTTACATTTATATATCACTATGGTACATAATATGGTATATAACATGGTGGGAATTGTTGCTAGATATAGATATTCCTACTTTAGTGTTGATATGGTATTTAGCAACACTTGTAATATGGTATTTAGCAACACTTTTAGGTGGGAATAGGTATGCCATACATATAAATATATACATCATAATCAGGTGTATGTGTATATATATATATATATGAATCACTAAAAAGTCTTGGTTATGTATATATTTATATATCACGACAAAGGGGCAAGTCGGTTTACTGGGTCATCATGGGTTCAGGGCTCACTAGTGATCATAGGTGGGATTTAAGCCGTGAAATTGACTCAATGTTTGGGGATACCTTCCGGTGTCACTAATCCCATGAACCGGGAGACCCAAAAACCGTCAAAGGGGTCACCCCTGTTGTAAACTAGCATGTTATCTGGATGGGTGCTAGTTTTGAGGGACCAGTAGGTCATATCACACACTATATATATATATACATACACATATATGTGTATATATATATGTATATGTATTGTGTATATATACAATGTGTATTTACATATATACATATAATGTATATATAAATGTATATATAATGTAATATATATACTGTATATATATAATGTATATATATATAATGTATATATATATAATGTATATATATATAATGTATATATATATATATTGTATATATATAATATATAATGTATATATAATGTATATATATAATGTATATATATATAATGTATATATATAATGTATATATATAATGTATATATATAATGTATATATATAATGTATATATATAATGTATAT